GAACCACTTGGGTAAGTACCAGGTTGCCCCCCGCCCCCAATTTAAAACCAAGGGTCTTAGTCAGACCCAAAAATTCACAGTGTACCCTTGAGAAGTGAAAGGGGAAGGAGGGTCTTAAAAAAGATGGCAGAAGATACTGTTAATAGTGTATCAGGATTTAAAACCCACATTACTTGCACCACTCTGCTTAGATAAATTTTATTTTGTCCCAGTTTGTCTACTTGCATTAGATTTGAGGGCACAGACAGCTATCCCCAAAACATCAGGATATAGCACAGTAATCATCTTTAACTTCCTATTATCTTAATCTGGAGCCCTGTATGACTTATACTCTTTTATAATGACTGATCTTAGTTAAATCTGGTTTGTTTGATTGCTGTTTGGGATCGACAGATTTTACTCAAAACTGGTATGATTGATAGTATCAAGTCTGAGAGTATAGGCAACTACCCTGAAGATGACAAGACTCTACAATACACATTCTGGTTTGATAACTGTCCGTTTTTGAAGATTTATAACTATATACAAAGTTGTGTTTTTATTAATACTGTTATGTACTGATATATTGAATTATACTATGTCTGATGATATAGCCAATTCTATTGAAGATAATAAGAGACAACACAGAAATTATGATAGAACTCCTTGTACAATGGTCTTATGTGTCTTTTTCATTTCATATGTTTCAAACATATAGGAATATGTTTTGTTTTGCCTTGCTTTGTTTTGTTTCTCCCTCTAATATAGAAAGGATAGAAATACATGTTAAGACTCATGCGTGTGTAGAATGTATAAACAGTTTATGAAAACTGATCTTATGACATATGATGAAATGAACAGATACTTTGGAAAAAAAGAGACACTACAGTACCCAGTGCTAATACTGGGGTGTCATAATGTAAAACCCAGCAATAGTATTAATGTTTGTTTAGAGTGATATTAGCCTGCTTGGGTTTGTTCAATCTCAACATAATTGAAGATATAGATAACTGCATGTATGTTTAAGTGTATAGGATTGATAACCATATTACGAAGTTTTTTTGGATAGTTGAACAGAACTGGTTGCAGTCTTGCTGTTTGAATTCCCACTTTATATGCTCCACTTTAGTATCTTGAATAACTATTTGTTTTTTTTTTTTTTTTTCTTTTTATCGGTACCAGGGATCGAACTCACGACTGCCTGCTTGCAAGGCAGGTGCATATGCTGCTGAGCTAAATCCCCAGCCCTTGAATAACTATTTGTAAGAGAACAATCTGTAATCATCAACTAATGATTTCTTACAGTTTATTTATTTTTATTTTTATTTTTTTGTCTTTTTCGTTTTTACCAGTACTGGGGATCGAACTCACAACTGCCTGCTTACAAGGCAGGCACTTATGCCACTGAGCTAAATCCCCAGCCCCTCTTACTGTTTATTTTTTTCTTTGAAAGTATGTATTATTTCTACCCATTTTCTGTTTTGTTTAATCTTTCTTTAAAAAAAAATTTTTTTTTAAAAAGGCACTACAGTACCCAGTGCTGATCGTGGAGTGTCATGATGTGAAATCCAGCAATACTATTATTCTTTGTTCAGAATGACTTTAACCTGCTTTAGTTTGTTTAATCTCAACATAAATGAAGATATGGATAACTGCATGTATGTTTAAGTGTATAGGATTGACAACCATGTTACTAAGGTTTTGTTGGACAATTGAACAGAACTGTTTGCAGTCTCGCTGTTTGAATTCCCACTTTATATGTTTACTTTTGTATCTTGAACAACTATTTGTAAAAGTACACTATGTAAACATCAACTAGTGATTTCTTACTGTTTATTTTTTCTCTAAATGTATGTATTATTTCTACCCATTTTCTGTTTTGGTTAGTCTTTCTTTAAATAAAATTTTTTTAAATGAGGAAAATTAAAAAATGTTCATCATCATTGGTTATTAGGGAAATGCAAATTAAAACCACACTGAGATTCCATCTCACTCCTGAAAGGATGGCCAGGATCAAGAAAACCAACAACAACAAGTGCTGGAGAGGCTGTGGGGAAAAAGGAACTCTCCTACACTGTTGGTGCGAGTGTAGACTGGTACAACCACTGTGGAGGTCAGTCTGGAGATTTCTCAAAAAGCTGGGATTGGAAGTCCCATTTGTTCCAGCTATTCCACTTCTAGGCATCTTCCCAGAAGAACTGAAAGCATCATACCACAGTGATACATGCGCACCTATGTTTATAGCAGCACAATTTGTAATTGCCAGGTCTTGGAAATAACCCAAATGTCCATCAACTGAGGAATGGATAAAAAGTTGTGGTATTTCTATACAATGGAGTACTACTCAGCTATAAAGAAGTATCACATTGAGGTATTTATCAATAAATGGGTGCAGCTTGAAACCATACTCATAAGTGAAATAAATCAAACTCGCATCTGTGAACACCGAATAGTTTCCCTAGAGAAGGAAATGATTCAAATATATAAAAGTACATGATAACCATGATTCCCCATTATGTGGCCTTGAAGCCTTATAACATTTTCACTCATTAATTGGAATGGCTTTATTCTGGGCTGTTTGATATTATGGCCTGTGATGCAATGAATAGCTACTTTGAAGAAAATAACACATCATAATAGCTAGTGCTGATTTAATACCATCTTGTCTTAAAGCCGCACCAAACTATGGCTCTTCTGTCTCCATTGATTTTATCATGTTGTAACTTGCTGGATTTTATCATATGTGGTAGTATAAACAAAAACTGTTATAGGCAAAGAGATAATATAGAAAGCATTGATCATTTTTTCTATTAGCTGGTTCTAAGTACTCTACAATGCTTTCATCTACTTGAATGGTGTTACACAGTCTTGATATGTTTGATGCTATAGCATATGAAGTTATATTCAAATATTTCAAAGAAAAAGACACTATGGTAACTACTATTAAGTCAGGTTATTTGGTGGTGAAGCACTAGGTTGCTGAAAGTGTCATGCTTTAACCTGTATTGTTATGTTGTTATGCCCCCTTTTATCTCATCCTCTCCCTTATTCATTAAAAAATTACTTAATTTTTTAAATTCCTTTTTCAAACTAAGAGGAAAAAATAAAAAATCTAGCAGGATATATTATAGTAACTTTTTTGATTTCCTATCAACTTGAAGTCCTGTAATACCCCCATTATCTTGTTATGACTGATTAGACTCTATTCTGCTCTGTATGAAAGTATCAAGTATCAGAGTATAGGCAACTACTATAAAGGCAATAAGATTCACTATGATGCCCATTCCGGTTTGACTATTATCCTCTTTTGAGGTGCTGTAAGATTTACAAAGTTTAGGTTATATTGGTCTTGTTCTCTACTGTTATATTTAACTCTATAATACCTAAAGAGATAGACAATTCGTCTTAAGGATACAAGAGGCATTATGGTAACCATTGTTGATAACCTTGTACTCTGTTTTTACATCATGTGCTATGTCTATCCTTGGTTTTGACTGACAGCTTTGTTTCATCATGCTTGATTTTATTCTCTTACAAAAAAAAAGTAATAAGATCTAAGGGAGCAATAAAGCCCAAAATGTGTAAATTTTGTTGTAATAAAGAGAGGGAAAGAAAAATGCCCTGAAGGATACAATAGCAAGGGTGTTTAGGTGTGTTGCATAGAAGACCATATTAATAGTTTGGATTGAATTACTGAACACAACTGCTTGCAGTCTCACTGTTTGAATGTTCACTTTGTGTGCTTTGATCCTGTGACTTGAAACACTGTTTCTAAGATGATAGCGAGTAATCTATTAACTGGGGATAGCATACTGTTTTTTGTTTTTTTGCTTTTCTGTAGTTCTGAATTACTTGTACCCTGACACTGTTTTGTTTTGTTCTGCTTTTTTTTCTCTTTTTCTTTTTAAGTAAAATATTTTTTAAAAAATTTTTTTTAAAAATGAGGAAAATTACTCAACACTTATTCCTGTTACGTGTATATCATGGCCACTGTTCAGAGGTCTTAGAATGAGTGCTGGCCATAGGGTATGTGGCTGCAATTCCAGCACACAGGAAGTGGAGGCAGGGATCTCTGTGACATCTAAGCCAACCTGAGCTGCATAGTAAGTTTAAATTCAGTCTGAACAGTAAGACTGTCTCTGAACAAATAAACAAACACGTGATGATGAAGTGGAAGATGTAGTTAAAATACTTGGCTCACATGTGTGAGGTGCTGGGTCAATCCCCAGCCCTGAGAGAGGGGCTGTGTGAGTATGATGGACCTTACTTTGTCTTTAAGGAACAAATGGCAAAATTAATTTTGTTCTACAGAAAAGCACTGAGAAAGTTAACCCAATAGATAATATCAGCTACAGACAATACTATTAATATCTTATGTGTGATTTAAGGTGATGATTTCAAGCTATGGGTTATCATCCATTTGTAGATTGTGAGATCAGGATACAGAGTATTTATTCCTTAGAATGGTATTTAAAAAAAAGGCAGAGTATTATTTTTCTAATTAAAAAATTATTTTTGCCGTAACATTTAACTTTCAGAAGCCAGTATTTGGGTAAAATGTGGCTCCACTGTAAATATTAAAATAATTCAAAATTACAGGAGAATTTGAAGATAAAATAAATCCCATTTGTCAACTTGAGATCCTGTCAAACTTAAATTTTTCTGTTTATTAAAGGACAGTGTTATGGTTGATACACTGTGTCAACTTGAGAAATTTATAAGTTTAACAGAGACTCAGCAGGGAATCAGAGTTCTTACTTTATAAATATCCTCATCCTATGCAAAGTGATTTTGTGAATGCTACATCCACCCTGGGAGAGGGGGGTAGCCTGTATACAATATAAACCAAGAGAAGAGGTTTTTGTGTTTGTTTTGTTTTGTTTCTTTCTTTTTGTTCTGGCTGATGCCTTGAAGTGTTGCCCCAGTGCCATGCCACCTGCCTTGGAGCCAGCTGATTATGGACTGAAACCTCCACAACAGTGAGTTAAATAAACCTTTCCTTCCTTCATTTTGGGTTTCAGGTATTTTGTCCCAGCAACCAGAAAAAAGTAACCAAGACAGAATTTGGTCCCAGAGAAGTGGGGTTGTTGCTATGACCATACCTGACCACATCAAGAGCCTTTGGGAACGGCTTGCAGGAAGAGTTTGGAAAAGTTCAGAGCTGTAACCTGAATGTATAGAACTGGAAAAGCTTAGGCTGTTCTGCATGGGAGATTCTGGTCAAAGCTCAAGAGACCGGAAGGTTGACAGCCTGCTAGTAAAGACCAACCTTGGGAGGTTTCTGCTGTGAAGAAGGACTGCATTGGTTGCTGGACTCCACACAGTGTATGTTATGGCTTGGCAGGAAGTCTATTTTGCATGTGTCCAGAGGCTTTGCCTGAGATGGAGATTAAGGGCAGCAGACTGATTAATCCGACAGAAGAAAATTTCAAGGCAGTTGAATGTTGGGTGCTTTTAGCCACATTTATGTTGCAAATCAAGAGCAAAGCACCCAGCAAAATAATTTAAAACTTTATGAGTTTGGCCAGAAAGGAAGCTCCAGTAAAGCTGTGGACTATAAAAATATAGCTGAGATCTGTATTGCTGAGAAGGAACAGAATAGAAAAGATGGCCTGAAGGCATCACAAAAAGCAGCAAGTCTTGAACTTTTACAGCCTCCAAACTGCAAAAGTGAAAAACTGTGCTTTGAGAAAAAAGCCACAAAGCACCATGTTCCAGAATGGTGGCAGAGCCCCCATAAGGTTCCAGAATGGAGATAGCATAGAGAATCTGTTCCTCAGTATCAGGTTCAGAGTGCTCAGCAATCCAGACACTTGACCCCTACAGCCAAGAGGGAGCAAAGCCTGACCTCTGCTCCAAGTGGCAGCAGACCTCGGCATTATCCATCCACATGGTGCTGGTTTTAGGTACATACAGAATGCAAGGGTTCTGATATTAAAAAGGCTTCCACCCCAACTTCAGAAGGCCTGGGAGGCCAGGCAATGTGCCCCTGAGATGGCAGTGTGTGAAGCTGTGAGTGTGAAGCCAAAGGTGCAGTGGAGACCCCATGTCTTAATCATTTTTTACTCATTGCTGAGACAAAATACCTGAAGCCCAAAGTTGGGAAAGGAAAGGTTTATTTCTCACAGTTTTTGGAGGTTTCAGTCCACACTCAGTTGACTCCAAGGCTGGCGGGCATGGCTGGACCGCAGTTCATGGCAGCTGCAAACAGCAAACAGGAACCAGCAAAGAGCAAGACACACCTTCTTCCTGCCATTACATCACATCCTGGCTCCACCCCTATGTGGGTGGAGCACTGACACCGTCAATCCAAGCACTAGACAATGAACCATCACAAATTCACAATGCAAACTCATGAGGCCTGGGGGACACAGACATAAACCATGACACTGCAGAAGTTGGGAAAAGGCAGGAAAACATATCATCTTATAAGGAAACTTGCAATGAGGGAGCAAATCCAGCCCAAGAGGTCAGCTGTGGGTTCAGTAACCACCAGAAGTGCCATAGGGGTGGAGTCTCACAAGCCCTTTGGAGCTCACAGTTTGCCATATATTGCCTTACATGGTGCACATGAAACTACAGGACTTAATGTTTGCCTTGCTGGATTTTGGACTGGCTTTTGTCCCAATCTTTTGTACCCTCCTATTAGTAACTTTTGGAATGGGAATGTTTACCTTGTGCCTTTGCTTGTTGGAAGTGTTTAACTTTGTTTTCATTTGTACTGGTTCATGCAGTTAAGAGTTTGCCTTCCTATTAGAGAAGAGTTGAGACTTGAACTTTTCAGCAATACTCAAACTGTTCGGACTTTGGCAATTGTTAGATTAAAATGCCTTTTGCATAAAGGTATGTGCATGAGTCTTTGGGGGTCCAAGGACAAAATGTTATGTTTCTAATGTAATATAATGTTGATAGACTTAATGCTGGTTCTTAAGGATTGTTAAATTGTAAAATGCTAAGAAAAAGCATGCCTTTGTATCTGGAGGCTGATTTAAAGAAATATGTCTGGTTACCTAGTTGACAAGGGGTTGATTGTTATGGTTGATACATTGTGTCAACTTGAGAGTTTAGAAGTTTAACTGAGAGATTCAGCAGCAGAGTCTAGGTTCTTTGTAAATATCCTCAGCCTGTGTAAAGGAAGGCAAGGAGATTTTGTGAGTGCTACACACCTACCCTGCAGGGAGTGAGGTGGCCTGTGTACAATATAAGCCAGAAGAGTTTTTTTGTTGTTGTTGTTTTTGCTTTTTGCTTTGGCTGCTGCCTTGAAGTGTTACTCTAGTGCCATGCCACCTTGTCTTTGTGCCAGCTAATTTGGACTGAAACCTCCACAACAGTGAGTTAAATAAACCTTTCCTTCTTTCATTTTGGTTGTCAGATATTTTGTCCCAGCAAAGAGAAAAAAATAACCAAGACAGAGAGGTCAATAGTGAAATGATAGCCTATCTGTAGAATATTTTTTTAAAAATCCTTAAGCCACATGTTAGATAAAGGCTTAATGTGTAGAATACAAAAAAGAACTCCCGCAACTCCAAAATTTTTTTAAAAACCTTGAAAAATTATCAAAATGGCTTAAATAGACATTTCTTCAAAGAAGTTGCCCAGATAGCCAGAAGCACATGAAAAGATAGCATCACTAATCAGTAGAGAAGTACAAATCAAACCCAAACCCATTGGAATGGTTACTACACAAAATAAAACCCAGAAAATAGCAATGTTGATTAGGATATGAGAAATTAAAGCCTTTGGGACTATTGGTGGAATTGTGAAATGGTACAATCATTCTGGACAACAGTATATTTTCTAAAAAAATAAAATAGAATTACAATATGATTCAGCAATTCCATTTTTGAGTATATTAGATTTAATGGGTGAGTGATTTTTTTTTTTTTTTTTTTGCACTAAGAATCAAATTCACAACCTCACACTTACCAAGCAAGTACTTGGACTACTGAGCTAAATCCCAGCCCGTATACTAGATTGAAATTAGAATGCTGAAGAAATGTTTCCACACTTCATGTTTCCATCAGCATTGTTCATAACAGCCAATAGGTGGAAACAGCCCAAAATACCCACTGATGGATAGTTGAATAAACAAAGTGTGCTACATATGTACAATAGAATAGCAGTCTTAAATAGTAAGGAAATTCTGTCATGAGCTTTAACATTTATGAATCTTGAGGCTATTGTGCTAAGTAAAATTAACCAATCACAAAAAGACAAATACCTACATAAAGCCTTTAAAGCAGTCAAATTCATAAAAACAGAAAGTGAAATAATGGTTACCAGGACCTGAAGAAAGGGAAGTAGAGAGTATTTAACAGATGTGCCATTTCACTTTTGCAAGATGGAAAAGTTCTAAAGATCTGTTACAGAGACATGTAAGTGTATTTAACTGTACACTTAAAAACAGGTAAGATGGAAAGTTTTTTGTTATGTGTTCTTATGACAATTATAAAAAACAAAAACTAAAATAAGATACAGTGGATCCTCAAATTACAACCAGCCTGACATGCAAACAGTTTGGGTAATGACTGGCATTTTCATTATAGCCCAAAAGTCTTGAATTACGGCCTGAATGCTGGCCCTTGTGCTTCCAGATGGTCTCAGATACAGATTTAACCCTCAGAGAGTTTTGGCAGGAGCGTTACAACATCTTTCCTTTATGGATTGAGAAGTCCTGGGCCAATGTCCCCCAAAGACACTGAGATCCGCCTGTATACAGCAGAGGGACTTGGAAGGCTCTGCAGAGAAGCCAGAGCCTTCTGCAGTTGACAATTTAAGGGAATGAATGGTCCACTGTACCATTTAACTATTAACTTCCCAAAGTTCCTAAATGTTGGTGACAGTTTAACCTCACAACAAGATTTAATTTAACTCATCAGTTAATGAAGAAGCCAGGAAAGTATGATAATCAGTTCAAAAGAGAACACAAAGAGTCCCACATGAATAGGTCAGGCAGGAATACTTTAATGAATTTACACATAGACACAAACCTGATTCTATCCGCTGGGGAGTTTGAACATCTTTTGTCTCTGCACTCAACAGATAACTATTTGCATTTCTATGAGCCAGAGTCATTTGCATTGCTGTCACTTAGCAGAGAGGGACAGAAGACAGGATATTAAGTGATCCTTTTTTAAAAATTTTCTACAGTTTTTCCTGACAATAGAGATATGAGAATATAACATTTAACATACAGCATTATCTCAGTAAAGAAGAGAGAACATACTTCCATATTGTGTATAGTTTTGTCTCAGTGGTGGACTTCACAGTTTAGTTTCTTTTATAACCTTTTCTGTTATTTTTAAACTTGCTACAACAGAACCCAGTCCTTTTAAAATTAAAAAATATTGACCGGCCTGGTAGCATATGCCTGTAATCCTGATGTTACCAGGTTTCAGGGTGCTAGAGTCTCCTTCTAGAAGGAGTTTCTAGATTCTTCTTGTCTTGAACAAAGAATTGGACAAAACAAATGCAAAAAGTAGTGAGGTTATATGTTTATTGAAAAGTAGGAAAAGAGGGCAGGGGGTTCAGCTCAGCCTGGCAAATAGGAGGTTATGGGTTCAATCCCTGTTACAAAAAAAAGACAGAAAGAAAAGTAGAAAAGAAACATCCTCTGCACAGCGAGTTTGGACTAAGTAAAAGTAGGAAGATAAGCATATTCTGCAGGATGAGAGTGGCCCACTTAGAAAGAACACAACAGCTAAGAGCTTACTGGTGACTGTGCTTCTGTGTCCCCCACTCCTCAGGCTGGCATCTGGTTGTAGAATAGTTTATTTAGTTAACTTATGAGTAAGACGGCTAGCTAGGGAAAGGGCCTGAGACAAAGTTGGGTGACCAGCCGTCTTGATAAGAATTAAAATAACCCGGGCATGGTGGTACAAATCTGCCATCCCAGCACTGGGGAAGCTGAGGCACAAGGATCACACTGAGTTCAGGATTAGTCTGGGTTACATAGTGAGTTTAAAAACCAGCCCACATTACATAGCAAGACCTTGTCTCTAACTCCCCCCACCAAATAAACAAATAAATACATAAGCCAGGTGTGGTGGCACATGCCTGTAATCCCAGCACTCAGGAGGCTGAGGCAGGAGGATTGTTGAGAGTTCAAGACCATCCTGGGCTATATAGTGAGCCCAAGGCCAGCCTGAGCTGCATAGGGAGAGCCTGTCTCAAAAAGACAATAAATAAATAAATGGGGATGGGATGTGTAGTCTGTAAGTAGGAAAAAGTACACAACAAGGGCTTCATTGGATTTTCTGGCTAATTCTAAGTAGGAAGGATTAAAACTTCACGGAAGAGCCAGACATAGTGGCACATGCCTGTAATCCTAGCAGTCAAAAGGCTGAAGTAGAGAATTGTTGCAAGTTTGAGACCAGCTTGGGCAACAAGACCCTGTTTCAAAACAAAGCAAAAAACAAAGAAGAAAAACTTCCACTGAAGAAAGCAATTACTAAGACAAGAGTGGAGTAGACAGGTAGACAGGCAGGGCACAAGGGAAGCCAGGTGCTCAGAATCAAACAGCTGCCCCTCACTTCAAATATAATGCAAAGGACACAAGGGGCAACGGCTTAAGAGAAAGCTATAAACACACGGACACTTGTGCATCTATATACAGATGTGTGTGTGTGTGTGTATGTGTGTGTGTGTGTGTGTGTGTATATATGTATGATGTCTTTCTACTCTAGGGCTACTATATTGGTGTACTAGCTCCTTCCTTCATTGCTAACTCCACCTCGAATGTTAAGGACCCTTCTAACCAATCCATACATTTTCTGGAAATAGGGTCTGACAAGAAGTGGGACCACTTAGGAATGTACATGAAGACAATGGCATGGGGGGTTAGGATCTTGGGGAGATAGGATCTTAGGATCCATCTATAACAGCCCAGGGAACCAATCAGGTTATAGCGACCTCCACGTGGAGGTGGGTATTGTGGCACCCAATAAAAGCAACCAAGAACAAAGGGCCCATGAGTCCACCATCTTTCTGGAACTTCTTATCCTGATTTATTAGAGTAACTATTTTCTCCCTTTCTAATAAAGTGTCCAGTGAAACATCTTCCTTTTCACAGTACAGTAATTATCTTTAATTCATTGCTGGTGCTGTGTTTACCACTCTAGTGAGCAGCTCAAGCAGTGGAGCTAGAGCTGGGGTGCCTGCCCCAAGATGCAGCAGACAGACAATGAGCTAAGGCTTTGGAAAAGACTGTACTTCCTCCAGCACTGGGAGATGCAGCTCCTTCCCCAGAAAAGGGAGTTGCACACAACACTGCTTACTAAGCTCCTAGGTTTTGAGGAATGTAAAATACAAAATAACCAGTTTTTTCCTCTAAAATCCCAGTTTCCTTTAAAACCTACTTGTTGAAGAACTGGGGTAAAGAGCCTGAGTTCCAGGTGGTCATTTCAAAGCCACAAAGCCACCTGGTGATTTTGCATCAAGTACTCATATTTACTAAAATAATAATTCTTTGGAATATGGGGGCTTTTTGGTACTGGAGATTGAACCCAGAGCCTCTCAAATGCCAAGCACAAGCTACACAACTGAGCTACATTCCCTGCCCTAGAATGGTCAGCCTCGTGTACACACAATGTCATATCATAAAGACAGCTGAGAGCCGCACAATGATGTTCCCTTCAGTCAATGTATGCAGCAGTGGCCTCATAAGATTACACAAAGCTGAAAAACCCAATATATTTACTAAATCTTTTTCTATGTTCAGACTGACAAATACTTAGCATTGTATTACAATTGCCAACAGTTTCTTTTCTGTTTTTGGTTTTTTTTTTTTTTTTTTTTTTTTTTTGAGACAAGTTCTCACTAAATAGTTTAGACAGGCCTGAAACTTACTGTGTAGCCAAGGCTGACCTTGAACTCTCAGTGATCTTCCTGCCGCAGCCTCTTCAGTGCTGGGATTATAAGCATGTATCAATTCCCCTGACTGAACATCTGCCAGTGGTTCCAATAAAGTAATATACTGCACAGGTTTGTATGGCAATATTCATAAGATGCACCATATAGCTTGTGTGCATAGCAGGTTATATTATCTAGCTCTGTGTCAGTACTCTGTGATATTTGCATAAAGACAAGACTGCTATTAGACACATTTCTAGGACTATTTTCCTATCATTAAGCAATGTGTAACTGTATTAATATCACTGGACTAGGACTAAGGAGATTCCTCTAAAGAGGAGATGGGATCTAAGCTGAGCCCAGTCAAGTCCTTGAAATCTAGTCACAGAAAAGAATTCCAAGGCATGATGGTAAAAGGCATAGACTGGCTTATTAGGCTGAGTTGGACAAAATGGGGATGTGACTTCAGTTTGAACAACTGATGGGAGCACAGCTCTCATGAAGAAGACCAGACTGGCCTATCAACCATGGAATGAAGCTAGTTTTTGTGGGATTGCTGAGGGAGGCTAGGATCTGGTTGATCTGTTTTGCTTTGTTTTGTTTTGCTTTCTTGTTTTGTTTTGTGAAAGGGTTTTGCTGTGCAGTTCAGGCTGGCCTTGAACTCCAGGTAATCCTTCTGCCTTAGCCTCCTATGTGATGGGCATGGTTGATTTTTAATTTGGTTCTGGTTTTGCAGCGAGGGAGGAGATTATCACTTGAGGGTGAAATCTGGTCTCTGTAAGAGATTACTTCTGCTTGGAGCAGTCTCAGTTTTGCAGAGGCTCTGTTGAAATCCAAAATAGCTGTAGCTTTAGGTCAGTGACTAGAGACTATTAGGCATCCATTGGTAGATGAATGTTCCTCATCTTCATATTCTCAGTCTTGAAGCATGATGACAGAGGTTATATAAATTTTGGCTAATCAACCTTGTTCTGCAA